ATGACAACCTTTCCTGGCGGAAAGATAACCTAATAAAGGAGGTTCAATTGGAAGACAGGTAAGGGAAAAACCTATCCAACCTTGGAGCATGCATACCTGGTTTTGTGTGACCTAGAGTGTGACTCAGAGCTCCCCAACATCAAAAACCCCACTCTAGATCTGATGGAGAATAATGTTATCAGTGTCATTGTTTTGAAAATGAATAAGGGCCTTTAAATGGACACATGGGTTATTCTCTTATTTGGCATAAGCATATAGGAAAAGAGGCGATGATAGGAGAGTTCTGGCAAACAGGAAGAGGAAGTGGAAAGGTTACTGTTCTGTCTCAGTGGAGTGTGGGAAGGAGAAGAGTAACTGAGTGGCCAGATGTGTACATCATGGCATCTCCCTTACATGCCAGAATCTCAGGGACAGGGTGGCTAAAGAGGTTGAGGGGATGCTGGAAGCAGAGGGACTTCTGCCTGGCTGTCTTGTTGGGAATCTCAGAGCAGACCACTTCACAGAACATCCTCATACCTGCCTGGGGCAGCTAACTATGGATAAAAATGGTATGGTTAGGCAGAAAGTACTGGGATATCTCTGTTTCCATGTGGCTAGAGAAGGACCCAGGCATTACACATGGATACACAGCACGCCCTTCCTCCCACTCACGGTTCTGGAAGGTAGCTGGGTTGAGAACAGTGAACTTGCCATGGGTCTGAAACAGGGCTGCCATCGCAAGAGGCCGGACAACCATACCTCAATAGCTATGAAGGGAGAGGAGAGTTGGGCTCAACACTGTCCAGTGGAAATACAATGCAAAACACAAAGAGGTGACACTAATTTTAACAACATGGTGTATTTAACCGAATATGTCAGAAATATCATTTCAACATGTAAGCAGTAGTATTTCACACTTACAGCACACTTCAATGTGCTCAGTAGCCTCCTGGGAGAAGCACAGGCCTAGCTCTAGGGAGGATGGAGTCAATGGAAGCCAAGTCAGTGTCGGCTCTGATGGAGCCAAAAGGACAAGCCATCAGTGTTCCAGCAATACCTCAGTAGAAATGGGCACATGGGTAAGTGGTTAGCTTCACGGGGCACCTACAGACCAGTGTCTCAGTGCTCTCCAACTCCTGCCACGCTTGCTTGATAGGGTGGGAACACATGAAAAACACTAAATGGATTATAAAAACTACTTATATTTTCTTTGCAAAAAACATCTAATATGATTGAGATTAAGCATCTTTTAATATGTCTTTCATAGACCTTCTATTCTGTTTATACACTGACCAATTCATACATGTCTATTCATCTATTTTGCCAATTTTTCTATTGGATAATTTAACTTTTCCTCATGGATTGGCAGGAGTTAGTTTCATGTATTCTGAAGCTTCATGTATTCTGATTTTAATGCTTTGCCTATTATTTATGTTGCAAGCATTTTCTTTTTACTGTGTTCACGAAATCTTTTTGTTTGGAAATTTTCTTAATGTTAGGTAAAAGGTTAAAGAAACCAACTTTTTTCTTTATGGCTTTTACCTTGGGAATCTTGTTTAAGACTTTCATTCCTCTACTGATCTGAAATTTCATACTGAGCATGTGTAAATTCCCCTACAGTCATGGCTTCATTTCTATTAGTCTATCTCCCTATGCTTTAAAGTACATTTTCATATCTGATAAAGTCCACAGTCACTGATCTTTGTTTCAAAAATTTATTGGCTCTTCTGTGAATTTTTCCCCAGGGAATTAACCAATTATCCTCTTCCTGTAGTGTTTGCACATTTATTGTTAGGTTATTACATAGTTTTATATTCTTAAATGATATTTTTCCATTATATTTTCCAGTTAACCATTACTGATATGTTAAAGAAATACTTTTTAATAATATTTTATTTGAATATATTGCTAAACTCTTGTAATGCTTGAATGCTCTGTCAGTTAATTACCACAGTTTTTCTAGGTAGAGAATAACACATTCTATAAACCATGATGGTTTTGGCTTTTTTCTTTTCAACTACGTATCTTTTATTTCCTTATCACATTGGCTGGGACCTCCAGGACAACGTTGTATGATAGCTTGACAATAGGTTTTTGTTTTTTCGCCTCTGAAAATGAGTAAGAATGCTTTCAACATTTAATTGCAATATCCCAGTCCCCAGAATAGTGTCTAGAACACAGCTAAATGATTATTACTAAATCAAGGTTACTAAATGAATAAATAAAGGTCCCTATTAAATACATTTTCCCACTATAGGTTTTTTTTCTATTTTTCATTCATCACAGGAATTTCCCTCCTACTCCTAATTTTCTAAGAATTTTTTTTTTTAATTATGAATGAGTGTTGGATTCTGTGGAATATTTTTCTCAGCATGAACTGAGATGATATAAATTGTGGTAAATTACATGATTGGATTTCCTGTTATTAAACCATTTTTGCATTTCTGGGATAAATCCTACTTATGATGTAATTTTAAAAATACATCTCCATGCATATGATTTGCTAATGCTTTATAATCAATGTTCCTAAGTGAGATTGGTCTACATTTTTCTTTTCTTGTGTTGTTTTACTGTGAATATATTTGTCTCCTGAAATGAGTTAATAGCTTTCTACATATTTCTGTGATGTGAGATACATCCATTTCTTCACCATTTAGTAGAACTCACTTGTAAAACGTTTGACCTAGTACCTTTTGTTCAGGGGTAGATACTTGACTTCTTTTCCAGTTTATTCTGCGATTACTTTTCTATTGAGGTTTTCTACTTCTTGTGGCAATTTTAATAACATATTTTTCCCCAACTCATCCATTTCTCCTATTGTTTTATGGAGTTGTATAAAGCATTCTCTTATCTGTTTTTATTGCCTTAAATATCTGCAATTTTATTTCTTTCCTGGTTCCTAATGAGAGTTATGAGGGTTTTGTTGTTGTTGTTGTTGTTGTATTTTAGAGACAGGGTCTTGCTCTTTTGCCTAGGCTGGAGTGCAATGATGCAATCACAGCTCCCTGCAGCCTCCACCTCCTGGGCTCAAGCGATCCTCTTGCTTCAGCCTCTTAAGTAGCTGGGGTTACAGGTATGTACCACTACACCCAGCTGATTGTTTTATTTTTTGTAGAGATGGGGTCTTGCTATGTTGCCTGGGCTGGTCTTGAACTCCTGGGCTCAAGCAGTCCTCCCGCCGTGGCCTCCCAAAGTGCCGAGATAGTAGATGTGAGCTACTGTGCCTGGCTGTTTCTTAATTGATGTTGCCCAGATTTGCTAAGTCACCACAAAATTGCTGGTTTTCTCCCACTATCCTTTACCTTCTTCAGGAAGTAACAAAATCCCTAAATTTTGGTTGTGAATGTGGCCACCCAGAATGAAGTTGTATTTCCTAGCCTTAAGTGCAGCTTGGTTGTGGCCACACCATTAAGTACTCACCAATGGGATATAACCATATATGGTGTGTGCAACTTCTAGGAAGTGTCCTTAAAGGGAAGGGGTGTACCCTTTTCCTGTCTCTTCCTCCTTTCTGCTGGCTGGAATTGAGTATGATGGCTAAGGTTAGGGCAGATATCTTGACCAAGACATGGAAGTTACATGCTACCTATGATGGAACCACAGAATTGAAGGAGCATCCAGCTGCACACTATAAGGACAAATGTTTTTCCTCAGTTTAAAAATTCTCAGCCATCATTTCTTCAAATATTGCTCTTTGGCCATTTTCATTCTTTCTCCATCTAGACTTTCTATTAGATACCTGTTAGAACTTTTAAATCAAATCTGTATTCCATGTCCCTTTATTTCCCTTTCATATAGTCTAACTCTTTGGCTTTCAGTGCTACATTCTGGATGAATTTCTCAACATTAGTTAATTGTCAGTATGTAAGTTTTATGCCTGTTGGTGTTTGGGGAGCTCAAGTGGAGGAGACAGATAAGACATGGAGGAGTCTCACAATTTGTGATGCTGACTTGTACTTAAGTCCTTGATATCAATACAATACTCCTCCTCTCAGCTACACCTGGGGTCCAGCAATCAATCCATAAATCCTTCGGCTCATCCACTTTGTGTATAAACCTCTAGTCTTATGCCAGCGTGGGAGACGCACAGTTGCCAAGCTGTGTAGAATGAGGGTAGGTAATGGATGGGGACTGAACAGTCACATCTAGGATCTACAACTCATGCTCCATCTAAGGATCACGCAAAAGGAACATATCAAATGATCAAAATAAACGTATTTATTTTTAAATTACAGAGCTACCATAAAAACTCTTTAGCCAGTGATGATAATTCCTTATAAACAAAATCTGTCTGATAGGTGTAGTTAAGAGAGTGACTACACTCTGCCAAATATATATTACTTTGAGTATCTTTACAATTTTTTTTTTATCTTACCACAATCTGGCTTCTGCTGCCACCACTGTTAAAACTGTAACTAGAAATCACTAGTGATATCTACTACTCAACTTGGAGCACATTAAATGAAGTTATTCATGTTAGAAGTAGCCCCTTTATAAAAATCAGTACCTGCACTTTAAAACCCCTGTGTTTGTGATGTATTTATGGTCATTGGTATTTGCTGGAAAGTGTAGATACTTCAAAGCAAAATAGCACTTTGAGGAAATCAGTGGCATCTTGGCATCTGCTCCTTTGCCATATTTTATTGAACTGTACTATATTAGGGGCCTTGCGGTTTTTCAAGGGTCTGACTTCTAGATAAAAGAGTTTCAGATATTCATGGAGCTCAATAATGAGCTTACCACTGGTATATAGCATTTCCATTAACATTTCAGAACTGAACAATAGAATAGAATACAAACAATGAATCGGTATGAGATTTCTTGGGGTAACTGACTTGGGATGGTTATGTGAACTGTTTCTCATGCAGGGCAATGAGATATAGGGCACATGTTATGAACGTCCCTGTGCTGGGCTTTGTATTCCAGTGCTGTGGAAGGGGGGTTCTTTGTAAACCTTCCTCCTCCCATGTGGAGAAAAGGAATCCTATTCGATTTCTAATTTAAAATAGAAAATTACTCACCAAAGGAAACATCACCAAAGTGCAGAGCTGGAACATTAAAATGGAAGGTTGGTCCAATGACACAGCCTCTGGAAGTAGGAAAACAAGGTGGAGAAGAGGGAGAGAATCCAGTGAATCACTCACAATCAGGAAGTGGGGTAAGACCAAGTACAAAAACCATAACTTGCCATTAAATCAATTATAATATCTAGGATCTAAAGAAAGGATGACATGGTGGTCTATCACAGTGGTCCTTAAAATTCTTTTTCATGATTCAAACCTTGGTTTTGGCAAACAGTCCTGTGGTTAACTTATATTTTTATCAATGAATGGGTGAGACCCAGAGCAGGTGGATCACCAAACAATGGCACAATATGTTGTTATTTTGAATGAGACACATATCATGTAAAATTATTAACGTGTCGAGAAATAAAAATTATAGGTCTAATCATGTAACACACATGAAAGAGTATCCTTGATACTAGTAAGCCCTGTTCATGCTTTCATATAAACTGTTCTAATTCCATTCTTACCACTGTGACATTCACTCACTGTGATGTTGGCCAGCTACTTAATCAGCTTCTGTTTCTCTTCCTCACGTATAAAAGAGAGGACTGGACTACGTGACATTGAATGACCCTGTACTCTAAATGTTGATTCTATTTCTCTCTCAGTGTAAGGCTTCATGATCTTGGAGAGATACTGTAGCTTAAAATAAATAATAGAGAGATTCTATAACTTCTAGCTTAGAAGGTATGGTAGGTAGAATAATGGCTCCCAGAGATATCTATGTCCTAATTCCCAGAACCTATGAATACATTAGGTTACATGGCAAAGAGGAATTAAGGTAACAGATGAAATTACAGTTTCTAATTAACTGAATTTAAGATAGGGAGGTCATTCTGTCTTATCCTGGTAGGCCCATTGTAACCACAACGGTGATTTTTAAAAATAGAGGAGAGAAGCCAAAATAGACAAATGGGATCTAATTAAACTCCAGAGCTTCTGCACAGCAAAAGAAACAATCATTAGAGTGAATCAGCAACCAACAGAATGGGAAAAAAATTTTGCAAGCTACCCATCTGACAGAGGGCTAATATCTAGAATCTACAAAGAACTAAAACAAACATACAAGAAAAAAAACAAACAACCCAATCAAAGAGTGAGCAAAAGATATGAACAGACACTTTTCAAAGGAAGACATTTATGTGGTCCACAAACATATGATAAAATGCTCATCATCACTGGTCATTAGAGAAATGCAAATCAAAACCACATTGAGATACCATCTCATGCCAGTTAGAATGGTGATCATTAAAACATCTGGGGACAACAGATGCTGGAGAGGATGTGGAGAAATAGGAACGCTTTTACACTCTTGGTGGGAGTGTAAATTAGTTCAACCATTGTGGAAGACAGTGTGGCAATTCCTCAAAGATCTAGAAATAGAAATACTATTTGACCCACAAATTCCATTACTGGATATATACCCAAAGGATTATAAATTGATATATTATAAGGACACAGGCACATGTATGTTCATTGTGGCACTGTTAACAACAGCAAAGACTTGGAGCCAACCCAAATGCCCATCAAAGATAGACTGGATTTAAAAAAATGTGACACATATACACCATGGAATACTATGCAGCCATAAAAAAGGATAAGTTAATGTCCTTTGCAGGGACATGGATGAATCTGGAAACCATCATTCTCAGCAAATTGACAGACAGAAAACCAAACACTGCATGTTCTCACTCATAAGTGGGTGTTGAACAATGAGAACACATGGACACAGGGAGGGGAACATCACACACTGGGGTCTGTTGGGGGGTGGGGGCTAAGGGAGGGATAGCAGGGGGTGGGGAGGGTGGTGGGGGAGGGATAACATTAGGAGAAATACCTAATGTAGGTGACGGGGGGATGGAGGCAGCAAACCATCATGGCATGTATATACCTACGTAACAATCCTGCAAGATCTGCACATGTACCCCAGAACTTAAAGTAAAATAATAAAAAAAAAGAGGAGAGAGCCAGCTATGGTGGCTCTAGCCTATAATCCCGGCACTTTGGGAGTCTGAGGCAGGTGGATTACGAGGTCAGGAGATTGAGACCATCCTGGTCAATATGATAAACCTGTCTCTACAAAACATACAAAAAAGTTAGCTGGGCATGGTGGCGCATGCCTGTAGTCCCAGCTACTTGGGAGGCTGAGGAAAGAGAATTACTTGAACCCAGGAGGTGGAGACTGCAGTGAGCCGAGATTGCGCCACTGCACTACAGCCTGGGCGACAGTGCAAGACTCTGTCTCACAAAACAAAACAACAAAACAAAACAAAACAACACCAAATAGAGGAGAGAGACAGAAGAGGAGGTCAGAGTGCTGCAATCTGAGAACTCAACCTGGCTTCGAACACAGAAGAAGGAAACCATGAACCAAGGAATGTGAGCAGCCTCAGGAACCCAAAAAAGGTTAGGAAATGGGTTCCCTCTAGGGCCTTGAGAAGGAAACACAGCCCTGCCAATGCTGATTTCAACCCAGTAAGACCTGTGTTAAGTCTACAGAACTGTAAAATATTAAACATGTGTTGTTTTAAGCTACTAAATTTGTGAAAATTTGTTACAACAGCAAAAGAAAACTAATCTATTCAGGTATCTTGTTTACCTTCGGAGTAATAATTATTTTTCTCCATGGTCCATGTCTTTATCTGTAGGTCAAAGGTAAAAATGAAAAGTATCCCATCTGTGTGGCAAAACTATATAGACACACAGATACCAGAAAACACACCAAGTAAGAACCTTCTAACTCACCAAGCTCCAGATGTTGGTGGTGTGTCTGACATACCATGCAGAATATGTTGATGCCTTAGTGTAATCACAGCAAAGCCTCAAGGCAAAAAGTTTTGTGTCTTACTTTCTCATGAGCATTTAGTGTATCTCATGCTAATGGTCTGAAGTGGTTTTAAGGACTCAGCCAGGAATTAAGATCCAGTTGAGAATGAAGTCAACAAACAGGCCCATAGGCTATATGCTTAACTTTTAAAAGAAGCTTTTAGGGACCAAAGTAACAAACAGATCAAAAGTGTCTGACATGCACAAGATACCAAAGAAAGTAGGAAAGAAGTTAAAAAAAATTTTTTTTAACAAAGCAGACATTTAATCAGCGCAGAAGTTTAAACAGCCAGAGATACGTGACACTTATTCAAAGGCACATGTAACTGAGGGAACTGTGGCTGAACAATCCCATCTAGTTAATGCCAGAGGTTCTGGAATTTTCCTTCTTACTTTTTTATTGCCAGGTACTCATTTCTCAATACCACATAAGCTAGTATGCCTTGAAAGATCAGAACAAATATTATATTTTTACTCTTTCTATTTACTCTTTCAACTACTTGACACAATATTTTCAGTGGTTGGATAAACAATGCTATGCAATGAATGTGATTTTTTAAATTACCTGTGAGTTTTCTTCCCTCCTATTTTTACATACGTGAATTCATAAAGTTTGAACCATAGCACATATTTTGTATTCAACTTGTCTCACTTACATATTGTAATAATTGATTCATTCTCTCTCGTCTTTAAAATTATAATTTTAACAGACCCCTGCACAGATTTATGGTACAACCTTGGCATAGGCCTGTCCAAACATTCTGAATCCCTGTGAGAATTAATGTGACTATATCTAAGTCACATTAAAATAGTCACAGGCCTATTTTAAACATTTCATATAAATGAAATGCAATGTGTTGTTTTTTGTGACTGACTTCTTTCACTTCTCATAATGTTTTCAAGGTTCAGCCATTTATGACACCATTATAAACCTTGAAAACAACATTCATCCATTATGAACCTTGAAAACATTATGACAAGTGAAAGAAGCCATCACAAAACACCATGGTAGCAAGATTCATCCATGCTACCATGTTGTGACATGTATCAGTACCTCATTTCTTTTCCATTCCTTTTTATGGTCAAATAAGATCCCATTGTATGGATATACCACACTGCATTTATCTTTGGCTACTATGAAGGATACTGTTATAAACAGTCATGTACAACTTTTTGTGTGAATACATGCTTTCAGTCCTTCTGGGTATATACCTAGGAGTGGAATTGCTGGTCATATGGTAACTCCATGTCTACCTGTTTGAGGTGCTGATAAACCATTTTCTAAAGTGGCTGCCATGTCTTACATTCTCATCAGTGTATAGGGGTTCTCATTCCTCCACCTTTTCACCATCACTTACCATAGTTCCTCATCTGTAGTTTTGATTTCCTGTTGTTTTTGTCTGGTTTTGGTAACAGGGTAATATTTGCCTCATAAAATGAGTTGAAAAGTGTTTCCACCCTTTCCTTTTTTGGAAGAGTTTGTGAAAGATTTATGACAGTTCTTCATTAAACATTCAGTAGAATTCACCAGTGAAGACACTTGATCCTATTTTTTGTTTGTTTACTTATGGTCAACATGGTCCAAAAATATTAAATGAAAAATTTCCAGAAACAAATCACTCATACATTGTGAAGTGACTGTCATTTTGAGTGGTGTGATGAAGTCTTGTGTCATCCATCTCTGTCCAGCCTGGGTCATGAATCACCCTTTTGTCCAGTGTATTGCCACTGCATATGCCACCCCCTCGAAGCACTTAGAAGCTGTCTTGGTTATCAGATCAACTGTCACAGTATTGCAGTGCTTGTGTGAGTAACCCTAATTTTACTTTTGCACCTTGGGACCTAAAAATGCAGAAAAAGGGAAACTTTTGTATTTTTCATCTTAAAAGTATTGTCATCCAAGTGAGCGTGAAGTAGTATCTCACTGTGGGGTTTTGATTTACATCTCCCTGAGGATTAATGATGTTGACAGTCTTTTCATGTGTTATTAGTCTTTTGTATATTTCCTTTGGAGAAATGTCTACTTAAATGCTTTCTCCATTTTTAAATTAGATTATTTATTGAGTTAAAATTGTCCAATAATTTATTGTCCCTTATCAGATATTTGAGTTGCAAATACTTTCTCCCTTTCTGTAGGTTGTCTTTTCACTTTCTTGATAGTATCCCCTTTGAAGCACAAATTTTTTTGCATTCTGATGAAGTCTAATTTATTTTTTCTTTGGTTGCTTGTGCTTAGGTGCTGACACCTGAAAACTACTGTTCATTTGGTTTTTGGATATACATATTAATCCCTTTTTATTTTGGAGACAGAGTCTCACTCTGTCACCCAGGCTGGAGAGCAGTGGCACAATTTCGGCTCATTGCAACCTCCGCCTCCTGGGTTGAAGTGATTCTTCTGCTTTAGCCTCCCAAGTAGCTGGGATTACAGCCATGCATCACCATGCCTGGCCAATTTTTTTGGATTTTTAGTAGAGACCAGGTTTCACCTTGTTGGCCATGCTGGTCTCAATCTCCTGACTTCATGATCCATCCACCTTAGTCTCCCAAAGTTCTGGGATTACAGGTNGAGACAGAATTTCACCATGTTGGCCAGGCTGGTCTCAAACTCCTGACCTCAGGTAATCTGCCCATCTTGGCCTCCCAAAGTGCTGGGATTATAGCTATGAGCCACTGTGCCAGGCCTATCTCTATGTTTTCTTCTAACAGTTTTTTAGTTTCACATTTGTTTCACATTTCAGTCTCTGAGCCATGTAAAGGCAGTTCCCTCCTACTCCTAGTTTGTTAAGTTTTTTTTTTTTTTTTAATCATAAAAGGGCATTGAATTTTGGCAAATGCTTTTTCTGTTTTTATTGAGATAATCATGTGGTTTTTGTCCTTTGTTCTATTAATATGTCAGGTTATATTGATTGATTTTCATATGTTAAGCCAACCTTTCATTCCTAAGATAAATCCTACTTGGTATGAGGTATAATCCTTTTCACATGTTGCTGGATTTGGTTTGGTAGTATTTGACAAAGATTTTTGGGTCTAAATCCATAAAGGTTATGGGTTTTTAGCTTTCTTTTCCTGTAATTTTTTTTGTCTGGTTTTGGTATCAGGATAATATTGGCCTCATAAAATGATCTGAAATGTGTTTCTACCTTTTCATTTTCTGGAAGAGTTTGTGAAAGATTTATGACAATTCTCAAACATTCAGTAGAATTAACCAGTGAAGCCACATGATCCTGTTTTTTGTTTGTTTGTGTCTTTGCTTTTTGGTCAGAATACATTACAGGTCTATTCAGATTTTCTATTTCTTCTTGAGTCAGTTTTGGTAGTTTGTGTCTTTCGAGGAATTTGTTCATGTCACCTACATTATTTAATTTTTGGCATACAACTGTTCATAGCATTATCCACTAATCCTTTTAATTTCTGTAAGGTTGGTAATAATGTCCTTTCTTTTATTTCTGTTGGGTAGAGTGTGCTGTAGATGTCTGTTAGGTCTAGTAGGTTTATAGTGTTCAACTATTTCCTTTATGATCTTCTGGTTTTATTATTATTGAAAGTGGGGTATTTACATCCCCTACCATTTTGCTGAATTGTCTATTTCTCCCTTCAATTCTGTCTGTGCTTCACATATTTTAATGCTCTGTTATTAGATGTGTGTTTATAATTGTCATATCTTTTTGATGAATTCACTATCTTATCATTGTAAAATGTCCTTCTTTGTCTTAAGTAACAATTTTTGTTTTAAAATCTATTTTGTCTGGTATAACATAGCCTCTGCTTTCTTTTGCTACTGTTTGCATGATATACACTTTTCTAGCCTTTTGGTTTCAACATATTCATATCTTTAGATCTAAAATATGGTATCTTGTAAAAAGCATATAGATTCATTTTTTTTTGGTTTGATTTTGTTCTAATTCATTCTGCCATTCTCTAACTTATAATTAAAGTATTTAATATGTTGACAATTAATGTAATTGCTGATAGGGCGGACTCATGCTACTTATTTTCTATATGTCTCATGTCTTTTCTGTTCCTCTATTCCTCCATTACTGTCTGTCTTTGTGTTAAATGGATATTTTCTACACTTTTAAATTCCCTTGTTATTTCTTTTAATGTATTTTTAAGTGAGTTTAGGGAATAGTTTAGACAATGGGTAATCCTGAATTTGGATAAATAATTTAGAGTCAAATGTGAGGGGAGTAGTATTCATGCAACAGGAATGTCTAACAAACCCACATACACGAGTTACTGCACCTAATATACAGCCTTGCTTGAAGAAGGAACTCAATAAGAATTTATTAAACAAATATCCAAAACACATATTCATTCCTAAAAAGTGTAGCTATGTATGTGTGTTGATGGTAAGACATAGTATTAATTATTAGGCCTAAACTTAAAATGAGGAACAGCCAGGTGAAATTGGAATAAGCTTTTTTATTAAACTTGAGGGGCAGTTAGCTTTCCTTGGCTAGCATTTTCCCTTTCTTCTGTCCACCTGAAAAGTAAACCTGCTCCTTTAACATCTCATACTTTCCTACCTACAGATAGGGCCATTATTCCTTTTATCATAAGTGTTTTTAAAAACAGAGCTTAAAGGTTTTATCTTTGCTACTTATGTATGAAGGCTTGCTTATGATACTAGATGCTGTTAAAGGTATTTATAATTCAAAGCAATACTTCCTGATGCCCAGTAGTCAGAAAGCTTCCAAGAGTTTAACTGCTGGATCTTATCAAAGGCCCTTATGGGACCAGGGGATCCGTGAACTGGAGACAAGGTTATATTCACAAGTTTTGTTCTTCTGCTTCTTCACTGCTTGTCATGACAGATGAGATGTTATGAAGGTAGGAAGGGGACTGAAGTTCATATAATATGAAAGAGTATTTCCATCCTTCTCATATTGTATACACACCCAAAGGATGTCAACCATGGGCTGGGATAAGTGGGATGCATCTTTGTGAAGAGTCAATGTCATTCAAATATTTGGAAGACAATCCTTATTTTTTCTCTTATAACAAACACACATGTATTATGTAAATGTCTTGTGAATGTTTCAGATAAGTCTTGGGACTTAAAACAAAAAAAGATTATGATTGTGACAGGCTGCTTTGGCCATGCCACAGAACCCTTGAGGCACACACATCCACTCTCTTTAGTTGTTGGGGGTTGTGTTACTTTGCTAGGGCTGCTGTAACAACGTACCCTAGACTGGGTGGCTTAAACAACAGAAGTTTATTTCTGTCACTGTCAGAAGGCTTGGTGACTGCAGGGTTATTTTTTTCTGAGGGTCTCTCTCTTCAGCATCTCTTTATTTTTTCACATGGCCCTTTTCTATGTGGGTGTCTGTGTCCTAATGTCCTCTTTTTATAAGGACACCAATCATATTGGATTAAAGTCCACCTATCTGACCTCATTTTGCCTTAATTACCTCTTTAAAGGCCCTATGTCCAACAAGAGTCACATTCCGAGGTACTGGGTGTTAGGACTTCAACATGTAAATACTAGGGGAAACAATTCAGTGAATAACAGGGACACTTAGGTGGAAGAGTTTGAGAATAAATAGTAATCACCTCTCAGCTAATCTTGAGATTCTGAATGTATAGTAGGTATCATGAGATGAGTACATTTTCCTTGGATCCTTCAGGTCATATGTCTCTATCTCTTTTCTATGTTATCCCCAGGTCTTGCCCCAAAGGATACCTCAGCTTACAGATGGAGGGAAGTCTTGCTAGCAGTCACCAGAATAAGAGAAAATGCCATGGTAATTAACAACCTACTGCTGTGGGAATCCAAACAGAGTCACAGCAATGTGTTTACAATGCTTGGAGAGATGATAGTGGATCATGTAAATAATTTCCTTAAAATAAGAACAAAACACAAACGTTTAGAGAAACTGTGATAACGGCCAAAGCTTACCCAAGATGATTTTATTCAGGTGTTACTGTAATAAATTATTTTCTCTAAACATCCTAAAACATAGAGAGTAACTAGAAACTAGTTTCATATCTAAATCCTTATTTTATAAGACAATGACTTGTAGAAAAACTAGATCTCCAAACAGCATCTGTATCTATATCATAATAATTCATATATGTTCACTAGGGAAACACTGATGGAAATTCAACACACTTTGTTATGCTGATGTGTTCTTATCAACAGAGATAGCTATGAACATCCAAGACAGGATCTACTTAAAAAGCTTAAAAAGGCAATAGGTCAAAACTTCAGTTAGTTTCTACACTAGTTATAAATGTACCTTACCTAATGGTCAGTTTCACAGGCTCCGGTGCCCCACTGATATCGACCAGGAACTCTTCTTCAAAGTTTCCCAGGATGGCAGGGCTGAAGGAGATCTGGAGAACTTGGACTCCACTTGGTTCAATGATGCCTTCCTTGGGACTGAAAACAAAGCAGGCCCCCAAAGGTGAAGTTGGAGGGGCCATGCTGAAGAGAGCGTCGATGATGCCTTTGTTGTACAGTATCGCCTATATCAATAAAAGGCAAGAATGTGAAGGTTACTGGACTTCCGACCCATTTTCATATAAGCATGTGTCTGTATTGTTTAATACCAACAAAGGGAAAGTTGTGGGAATTAAGAGCAAAAGAAGAACACTCCGGGACAAATGAATGGTCTGATGCCTTGAATGTTTGAAGACAGAACTCCCAAGCCAGAAAGTAATTTTATATTTTTAGTCTCCTCTTTAAAATGAAATTAGTCATATATATTATGCTTGTGCTACAGAGACTGACCATCATCACATATACTGTGAAGAGCCTTAAAATACTCCCTTTTTTGCTACTCTCTATAAAGTAACCAAGGGAAAGTATTTCTCTTAGACGCATGAGAAGGCTGAGGTTAAGCCACATACTTAAAAAGCAAGTTAGAATAGCAGAGTGAGAATTACCTATACCTATGTTTATAATGTAGCTTGAAGAAGGTAAATGACACATCATTGTGGATTCCAGATGACAAGGGTTCTCTTTGTTGTGCTATCAGATTTCGTCCTATTGAGATATTTTCATCTCAGATTCTACTGGATGGATGATTGTTTTCAGATTCTTATGCAAGCAACTGTTTTACTATAAAAAAGTTATATTCCTATATTCTAGTGTTCTGGAGGCATGTCACTGCCCATATGTGGTCATACACTGGGTTTAGTGTGTGCACGTGAAGAGCTCATGCCTGAGCTCCTTCATCACACTCATGACATTCGGATCCTTCATGGCTCAGTCGACTGCCCCTACAATTCTTGTGCATGAACCTGCACTACAGCCATTTTGTTCTATCCTGGCTTCCAAAGACACCACCTCTAATCCTTGCCATTGCTGTCCTAACACCTACAGGGTGAATAGCATGTTTTCCTGATTTACATAGGAACCACCCTCAACCTACACTTAAGGCTTTGGAGGACAAAGAGCATGAGAGATTTCAAAGAAACTTTCAGAAGGATAGCAGGCAAATGTGAAGTGTGTCAGGAACCCGGAAGCTGAGGGAGGAGGGTCCCCAGAAGTAAGACGGGAACAGAGGTCAGGAGAGTAAGTTCGGAGCAAAGGTTATAGATTTGTGATTTTTAGTTAGAGGTTATTATCATCCCTTACCTTGAGGAGGAAAGTAATTCCAATGAGGTATGATTACAGAATCCAGAGGACAAATGTTTAGGGGATTGAGTGGGTGCACAGGAAATAGTGGTTGACTATTTTAGATTTCTGTTTTGAGAAGATGAGTGGTGAAAGGTGAGAATAGCAGCGGTAAGGCTTTGGGGATGTGCTGCAGGGGAGACAGTATATTTGTAATAAATGAGATAATGCATACTCAGTGCTCAGCCTAGAGGAAACCCTCACCAAAGTGCTTCCCATTGTTGTAAGAGAAGAGAGCTTGGTAACTAAGGGAATAGAGTCTGAGTGGATGCCAAGGAGGATGAGTTCAGGGGCTCAGGTTGCAGGGAAGAGGGCATCCAGAACATATAGTAGAGAGAAAGAGTCAGCAGCCTCTGCAGAGGAAGACAGTCTCTTCTGCCAAGAGAAGATGGACAATGTACCAAAATAGAAGCATAAAAAATTGCTGCTTGCTATTTTATTCATCTTTTCATGTTTCTTTCCCACCTCCCTCATTCTAAGCTCCCTGCTAGTAGGAACCAGGCTTCACCCTTCATTCCTTTTAAAGAGACCACGTAGAAAAGTGATTATGGCCAGCAACTCTGCAGCCAAATTGCCTGGGTTCAGACTTCAGCTTTGCCATTGACTTACTAGCTCTGAAGTCTTGGACAACCTACTTAGTTTCTCTGTGCCCCAGTTTCCCGATCTGTAAAATTTAAGTACTAATAACTTCTCATATTGCTATAAAATTAAATTTATTAACTTAAGTAATTTTTAGAATTGTGTTTGGCAAATATTGCTTAAAAATGACAGAGGCTGTTCTTACGTTTTTGGTTTTTTTTGTTTGTTTTTTAAGAGACAGGGTCTGGCCCTGTGTTCAGGCTGGAGTGCGGTGGTGCCATTATAGCTCCCTGTAGCCCTTAACCTCTGGGTTCAAGCAATCCTCTGCCTCTGCCTTATGAGTATCTGGGGCTACAGGTATGTGCCACCACACCCAGCTGATTTTTGTGGGCTTTTGTAGAGAGGGGGTCTTACTATATTGCCCAGGCTGGTCTCAAACTCCTGGACGCAAGTGATCCTTACGCCTCAGCTTCCCAAAGCACTGGGATTACAGACGTGAGCCACCACACATAGTCAGTGACTGCTATTTATATCCCCAGTGCCAAACAGAATGGTTTAAATTTTACCTGTGCTTAAGAAGTGACTAATACATACTAGTGGTAACATGAAGACAAAATGAAGGCATTAGTGGTAACTTAGAGGACTCTGTTCTTCTCTTTGAGAAGATGCATGGATTGTCTTTTAGTTTTTTTTGGTTAGCAGAAATGTTTTGCCCATATTTTCTGTACAGTAAGAATTCCTCCATTTTTAAGAAGATGACATCATTCTTCTCCTCCTAAAAAATAAGCACCTACTTATGAATATAGAAACCAGCAATAGTTTTGGGGCACAATTCAGAGGCCTTTTGATTACTGATAATCATCTTCCCCTTGAGGTGTAGCTCCTTGGAGAGAAGAAAATTTATAATCAAACTTTGCCTCTCATTTGTTTTCCTTCTTAATTACACTGGGGAATAGAGTATACTCTTGGGGTTATGGTTTATTCTTTATGTATCTGCTATGCTCAGCAATGACTAAGGGCAATAGCTAGTTATTCAAATTTGCCTCAAGTAGGTAATGCAATAAATTGAAAGAGAGATGCAATAAAGCATCAGCATTAAATACGCAAAGAGTGCAAAATATTCCCATAAGAAGCACCTTACCGTGTCCTTCTCTACCACTGCACAGCTCTCAAAACTGTGCAATCTGATGCATCACCTCATTTAACACTTTAACTGGCTGTGGTTTGCTTTACTGTTAAACTCAGGGAGGGTGGGAAGTGGTGGCCTCAAGTACACTTACGCTGAATTATATTCAGGGAAACCCTACCCGTTCTGCATCAGAACTAAAGGTTCTTTTCCGATGTAGCACTCATAAGTTCAGTCTGTAAGATGTAAAGGAAATTCGCACTGGATAAATTACAGACAGAATACCGGTTTAATGAGAACGACTGGACTTTGCTTCCTTCTCCCCTAAGTGACCTCTCAAATGCAATCTGGTACAGTGTGGGATACAGCTGTGTCACTTGTCACTTCATGACAGCCATGAGACGGACTTCTTCATTTACACTGTGCTCCTATGCACAGGCCCTCTCATCCTGACATTAACATCTCTGTTTACCTTCTGCATCGTCCCATTTAGGCGACAGTTACCGTAGTGAACATGGGAACACAGGGCACTATCCCCACGCCACGTTAGGTTGGGCTAAGAGTAGAGTGTGTTGGGTTTACCCAAGGGGAAAGGGTGGGATGCTGAGAACCTGAAGGACTGAGAGGCCAGCAAAGGCCTTCTCTTCCCAGAACAGGAGAGAGAGCCCCAGTCCCCCAGGGCTCACTAACATTACATGCCACAGGACCCTGCCAAGTTACTTAACTCCTCTGGCCGTCAGGTTTTTCTTTCCTTGAACCCATTTCCCCTTTTTCTGTGCATGCAGCTAATGGAATATGAATGTAAGTGAAAAGTGCTACCTTCTATAAAAATATTATATGCGTTCCCCCATGCCCTTTCCCCTTTTGCAGTCTTTGTAGACCATGTGGTAGGGGTGGCCAAGCATGAGATGTTCCAGCTTCTCTGCTGGAAGAGAGCCCCTGCTCACTAGAAACCTTTGTTTTGACCTTTATGTAAGGCATAAAAGAAACTTGTAGCATACTGGAGGTATTATGTATTTTGTATTTGTTTGTTACAGTATCTAGCATTACTTAATTTCTCTAAAGCTCAGCTCACCCAGCTATAAAATGGGAATAGCATTTGTACCTCACAAATAGTTCTCACAAATAGGGTGTTTTTTGTTTTTGTTTTGTTTTGTTTTTTGAGACAGAGTCTTACTCTGTTGCCCAGGCTGGAGTGCAGTGGCTTGATCTTGGCTCACTGCAACCTCCACCTCCTGGATTCAAGCAATTCTCCTGCCTCAGCCTTCTGGGTAATTGGGATTACAGGTGCCCGCCACTACGCCCATCTAATTTTTTTATTTTTAGTAGAGATTGGGTTTCACCATATTGGCCAGGCTGGTCTTGAACTCATGACCTCAAGCGATCCACCCACCTTGGCCTCCCAAAGTGCTAGGATACAAATAGCACTTTTGTGAGGACTGAATGAATGAATGAGTGTCAAAGCACTAGCACTGTACTCAACACACATTAAGGGAGATGTTGTGTATGGTATTAACCACTACATGATCCATATTTCTCATATGCAAAAGAGATGTAATAAAGCCTAACTTTCACAATTTGGTAAGAATTAGAAATCACACACAAATACACAGACATGCACACATAAGCATGAACCTGACACCTATTTGTCACTCATTACATATATGCTTTGAATACCTCTATAAAAATACAAACATATACAGTTAAGGAACCTTTCCAAAACGAAGTTTCAAGGGTTAGAGCCTGATATAGTGTAAAAAATGTGCCCTACATACAAACTCAGTGATGGGGAGACAATGAAGTAAACACTGATCCTGAAGGACTCACGCATACATCCGGTAAAATTTCACTTTCTAATTAATTGGAAAGATAACGCAGGAAAGTCTCTTCCACAAACTATGATTGGTTTTTAAAATGTGGATTGGAGGCCGGTGCATTAAGAGAAAATTCTGAAGTGTGAAAACAGCTATGCTCATTAGGACATTCTAGAAAATGGAAAAGGTTCTCTATCCTCTGATCTGTGGAATTTACATTGTCAGAGAACAAGCACTAAACAGATGGGGAGATGTATTTATGGGTTTTCCCTTTGCAATCTAAAAAATGATGAGGATAAAACCAGTTAAACTATGGCTTTGATGCTTTTTATCTTTTACTAAAGTGAGCGAAGGCTAATGAGGATAAAAAAGTTGCTCCCCTCACGATGGCCAAGCAAGAAGAGGAAGAATCTGAGTACTCCAGGGCCTCAGTAAGGAGTAATGGCAAATGAATGTGATTGCACACAGTTTCTATCAAATAAAAACACATAAGATAAAACAAACCCAAAAAGCCAAGTACTGTTTGAAGTCTCGACGAACACCTCTAGTGCTTACCTCATAACAATGTACAGATCCAGTGAAAACTTTCCCAATATCCAGCAATTCAAAGTTCAAGCGAATCTTCGGTCCCATTCCTTCCCCTTTGATTCGGAGGGGCAGACGGATTTCTCGGCCTAGAAAAACAATTCAGACTTTATTATTGAAACAGTGCTTCACTGCCCCGAATTACAGTCCCTCATGTACATTACCAATATAAATAATCAAAATTATTAAACAGCTTCCTGCACTGCACCAAGAGAACTACAATTTAACTAATGCTAAAGATTCATCCTATGTGGGAGTCACTCGTAATCCTGAATGCCAAAATCCTGACTGCTGAAACTGTGAAACACCAAAATCCCAAAGATATAATTCTGGAAAAACAAAAGACATTCTTTAAAATGTAATTATTTACATTTTAAAGGGAGATTTACTTGAGAAGCATATAAAAACACAACAGAACACTTCAAAGGCCACTTTGTACAATACAATAGGCAATAACAAAATATGTATTTTTGCAAGCATTGTTGTAACCAAGCGAGTTATAGAGAAAGCGCCATACTCTGAGATTGAATCAGGAGTCCTTTATTGCCGGTGACCAAGAGACAGCTAACACTAAAAATTTTCTTGGCTCCGACGAAGGGGCTTGATTCCTTTTTATGCCATGCTTAGAGAAGGTGGGTGGCAAAGCGGATTTAAGCAGAAGCAGAACAAGCAAGTTAGATAAGGAAGCTGGTAACCAGGGGGCAGGAGGTTCCCAGGATTGTTGGTTACCATGGGGAGTAGCAGGGGGGACTTTCCATACAATCAATTGCCAAGAGGGGTAAGTTATTCGCAATAGCAGGTAGACTCACCAAGCAGGATGTAGTTACAACAGTTACAAGGTACTGGGTACAGAGTGACCCAGCTGTGCACCCAAAGGAGAAATGGCGGGGAGGGAGAGGCTAAGATAGAGTTTGTCAGACTCACATCTAAGATGCAGTCTGTTAGGCTATTACAGCATAAACACAGGCAGACTAACAACAGTCACATGGGTAGAATGGTTATGAGTACACAAGCTATATTCATAAACAAACAGGTAAAGAGGGCAATGCAAAAATGCATGCCATTGTGGTTGGTAACTGCAGGCACCCAGCTTTGTAATTGTGGTTGCCTGAAATACCATGACAAACAACCTAAGTCTTTTGACAAGATAGATCAAAAACCATGATGGGTCACCCCACATAGGCAGTTTCCCAAAGAGCTGAGATCTCTAGAAATTTTATATTTCACAAATTCAGATGTGCAAAAAAAAAATCTTCATTTATTAAGGAAGTGTCGCATTTTTATGTACACACACAATATGCTTAGGCACAAAGGCAACGTTGTGATAATGCACTTTTGTGGAGTCAAATTTCTTATGTCCAAGGCAGCAGAGGAAAAGTTTGTCCCAGCTCTCAGAGACAAACCAATGTGCCTTCTGTATTTGTTCTCTCCCGAGTCCCCAGCTGGTTGGATGGGGCCTGTCAACACTGAGGACAGGTTTTCCCCATCAAGTCCACTCAGACTTACACATAAATCTCCTCTGGAAACACCCTCACAGATACACCCAATATTATGCTCTACCAGGTTTCTACCAGTTTCTACTGGTCAAGCTGACATCTAAAATTAAGCTCACAGGCCCACCCCTTGTCAACCTGGCACCCATACATTAAACCATACTAAATTTCCCAATAAAGACAACAGGTAATAGTTCTACCTAGCATGATGCAATCAGCATAATACAACTATCCTGTGTGCAGATGAAAACACACCAATCCCTTCCCTGGAACTGGGTTTTCAGGATTTCAACACTTGGGATTTTAATCTTTCAGGACTGCAATTTTTGGGATTTTAGACACCAGGGATGCTAGACTTTAGGAATTTAGAGCCTTAGGGGATTTGATGTTTCAGGAACTCAAGATTTGGGATTATAGCATTTTGGATTGTGTCTTTTGGTATTGTGATCCAAATATTTTATTTTAAGGAAATAAGAATACTGCTAGTTTTTTTATTTTTAGGGAGCAGACTGTATTGCAATTTAGGCTGACATTTTAGCAGAAAAAAAAATTTTTTTTAATGTAACCCAATCCTCAACCTTATTCTAAAGTTTCTTATCAAGAAAAGTAATTTTAAATCAGAGAAAGGTAACCACACTGATTGATGCTTCTCATATAATGAGAACCAACATGGGCTTCAAGGAAGATCCAGAGTCCTAGGGATCTAAGTCTTGGGGGTCTTACCGATGCTTACTTTTGCTGAGTTTCTTCCATGTAGAGGTAATGAAATGCACTTAACAATATCCATTATAACACATCTACAATGGACCTACGGGCAATATAGACAATACAACCTTTGAAGTATTGACTGGTTTTGTTACCCCTTTTTAAAATGAAAGTATTTTTGTTCAATAATACAAAATTTGAAGAGAAAGTGAGTAAAATTATCTTACAATTGTACCATCCAAAGATAACCACTGTTAACATTTTGGTGCCTATCCTTTTATATTTAACTGTATCCCAATACTGTTAATGTAAATGGTAGTGTATACGATATTATTAACCTGCTTTTTTTCACTTAACAATACCTTTGGAACATTTTAACATATCATTACCTAAAGATCTACCTTATCCTTCTTAATGATTACGTGGTCCACTGTTGGGAGGCAAATATTTTTAAATCTCTTATTGGACATTTAAGAGCCTTCCAACCTTTCATTACAATTTACAGAGTAATTACTATAGTCAAACATGTATCTGTAAACAATTTTTCCAATTTTCTTCCAGCACTTTGAAGATGTTATAGCTTTCCACTGTTTCTGTTGAGAAGTTAGCTCATAGTCTTGTTGCTCATTTGAAACAATACGCCTTGTCTTGTGATAGATTTAATTTGTATGCACACATATGGATTTATTTTCATCTTTAGGTTTTAGAAGATTTACTATAATGTTCCCAGGCATGGTTGCACTTATCCTTTTGGGGGCTTGTAATACTTATCGAATATGTGAGGCCAGGCACGGTGGCTCAAGCCTGTAATCCCAGCACTTTGGGAGGCCGAGGCAGGTGGATCACGAGGTCAAGAGATCGAGACCATCCTGGCCAACATGGTGAAAATACAAAAATTGGCTGGGCGTGGTGGCGTGCGTCTGTAGTCCCAGCTACTCGGGAGGCTGAGGCAGGAGAATTGCTTGGGCCCAGGAGGCAGAGGTTGCAGTGAGCCAAGATTGTGCCACTGCACTCCAGCTTAGCGCCTGGTGACAGAAAGAGACTCCGTCTCAAAAAAAAAAAAAAAAAAGTGAACAAATGTCTTTCATCAACTCTGAAAAATTTTCAGTCATTATCTTTTCAAATACTGTTTCTTCTCCACTTTTCACCTGTCTTGTGTGTGTGTGTGTGTGTGTGTGTGTGTGTGTTTGTGTGTCCTTTTTCTTTATTTTGTCTCTACATGCTTCAGTATTTTCAGATATCTCTATGTCTGGCTATACCTAACAAGCTGTTAAATTCATCCACTGAATTTTAAATTTGTTATTATAACTCTTCAGTTCTAGACTTTTAATTAGAATGTTTCTAGTTTTCAGATCTTTGCTTAATTTTGATAAAAACATTTTTAAAATCTGTCTCTGATAATTCTATTATCTGATTCTCCATGGGTTTGCTTCTATTGTTTACTCTGGTTTTCTATCAGATTGTCTTACCTCCTCATGAGCTTGGTTACTTTTTGATTGAGTCTGGATCTCCATATATAAAAATTATAGACATAATTTAAAGCCATAAGACAATATCTCCCTCCAGCTTCTAGCTGGTGACTGGGGAAGGGGGAGGCATTAGTAACCCTAGATAACGTAATTTAGGTGTTCTTAACTAAGATCTTGTGAGAGAATTAAGCCCTGTAGCAAATCATTTGAGTGATTATTTTCTCAACTCCCCCAAGAAGGGTAGGCAGCTAGCATCATCCTAGGTATAACAGAGAAAAATTAATTCCCCATAAACAATAGATGCCTTAGAACACTAGGGATTAATTATCTTCTGGATCTCCAGGGAGAACTGTCTCAAATTAAACCAATAACTGAACAACGATTCAAAGCTGAATTTCAATCTCTGTGAGGACTGGTCCATTTCTAGTTCACTAGGTCCTACTCTAAAGCCTGGGGGATTAGATGACTAGGGTCCTTCCTCCTGGGACATACCATGGACTTTTGTTTTCTTTTTAACCTTACTTAAGTTTTCACCCTCTCTGCAGTTTTTACCAAAAAGGCAGTGTCTTTAAGGATAAAGTGGCCCCCAAAGTCTGACGGTCTTGGTTTCTTTCTCCTGGATCTTGGCCCCATGCACTGGTAGTTCTCTCTTGCCTTAAAAAACAGATTAAAAAAAAATACGTTGCCTTGCTTTCCTAGGTGTTCTTAGAAAGAAAGAGTTAATTTAAATTACCAGCTTAGCATTTATGAAAGATTTCCAGAACAAAGGGATGCACATTTGATATTTTGATAGCTACAGCATCAGACTATCATACTGCCCTCAAGAATCATTGTGCTGGCCGGGCGCGGTGGCTCAAGCCTGTAATCCCAGCACTTTGGGAGGCCGAGGCGGGTGGATCACGAGGTCAAGAGATCGAGACCATCCTGGTCAACATGGTGAAACCCCGTCTCTACTAAAAATACAAAAAATTAGCTGGGCATGGTGGTGCGTGCCTGTAATCCCAGCTACTCAGGAGGCTGAGGCAGGAGAATTGCCTGAACCCAGGAGGCGGAGGTTGCGGTGAGCCGAGATCGCGCCATTGCACTCCAGCCTGGGAAACATGAGTGAAACTCCGTCTCAAAAAAAAAAAAAAAAAAAAAAAAAAAAAAAAAAAAAAAAAAAAAAAAAAAAAGTATCATTGCGCTAATGACACACAAACATCTGTAGTATTTAAGGGTTCCTGTCTCTCCACATTCTCCCTAGCAGTGGAGACATCACCACTTTGAAAACCTTTGATAGTTTGATGGCTTTCCTTAAAAGCCTATCATTTAAATTTCAAGTTCTCTAAGGAAAGAAGATATATTTCCTCTGTATGGATATTCTGAATGTTCAAAATACTTTTGATGCTCCATTGATGTAGTTTTCAGTATTACAGAAAGTAC